TTAACATTATTAAAATGGTCATACTATCCAAAGAAATCTATAGATCCAATGCAATCCCCATTAAAATATCAACAGCATATTTCACAGATCTAGAACAAACACTCCAAAAGATCTAGAACACCGCCGCCCGCCGCCGTGTAAAGTCTTAGGTTCAGGGAACAAAGCCTGGCTTGGTAGGGAGCTTTTCGCTCGCTGGCTCCTCGCTCCTCTTCCCTCTTTCTTTTCCTTCCTGTAGTTCTCACTTGGCGCTCCCGAGCCCTCCCTCTGCCTGTCTTTCGGTCTCGGCTCCGGGTCCGAGTCTCCGGACTCCCCCGCCCAGCTCTTCGTTTCTGCGGCTGTTCCTCAACCCCAAGGACATGGGGGTGGCGAGCAGGGGAAGGGGCGCTGGGAGGAGCAGGGGCGCCGGGAGTCGCTCGCCCCTCCGGGTCTGGGGCTCTTCGGATTGGCCGCTCGTGCGCCCTTTCCTCGGAGGCCATTCTGTAGGGTAAAGGCTCCAACACGCAGACATTTGTTCAATTAACAGATATTTATTGAATGCTTACTATGTGCTGCCGCTGGGTAGCGCCGCGAATAAAACAGGTATTCCTGCCCTCGGGGAGCTTCCGGTCCAGCTCAGACACACACGCACCGGGACTCGTCACCCTTGCAGACACCCCGAGGCACCCAGACACACACCCTCACTCCCATCCTCCTCCAGCCACACCACCCGCCCCTCCCAGGGAGAGACAAACCCCAGCTCCAGTCCCACAGGAGCGCTTAGAGACCCACGCAAGTTAGAGACTCACGCCTACGGAAGCGGTCACAGACCAGCTACCCTTGACCTCTAGGCACGCACACAAACACACAACAAACACACACAGCGCCCCCCCCCCCAAGGAATTAAAGTCCCTGAAATTGGATCTGGAAAGAAGAGAGGGGGTGTCAGCCTGAAGGCTTCATCCCCAAGACCCGTGTGGGCAAAGGGGACGAAATCTGACCGCCCCCCCAACTTCCTAAAGGGGTGTTGACGCCTGCAGAGACCAAAGGTCACACGCCCTCTCTGGGCGGTGGGATGGCGGTGGAGAGGAGGCAGCTCTGGGGGGCATCAGCGACACTTCAAAGACCTCTGGGCCGGGAAGGCTTCCTGCGGGGGATGGGCGGCCGGGCAGTGGAGGGGAGACCCGCAGGGGATTGAGGCTGGAGGAGACTGCCCCCCTCCGCGCACTGCCCCCGCGGCCGACTCTTCCGCCGGGACCGCCTCCTTTTCACCAGCACCTGTTCAACCGGAACATCAAGGGGCCGGGGCCCGCCGTCTCCCCTCCCTTCGCGTCTATTTAGTACCTTTCATCCGGGAAGGGAGGGGGTGAATCCCCGCCCTGGAGGGGGATGGAGGGCGGGGGAGAACTTGTCCTTGACCTGGTCTGTGGCGTCAGGGATTTACTCCCTTAATCCCGGCAAAGCTAGAGTTTGAGGAGTTGGGGAGGCCGAGTTCTGGGCTGCGGCCACCACCTTCCCTTTCTCCTGCAGGGACGCGGGAGTTCCGGAGGGCT